GCCGATCAAATGGGAAATCGGGGTAAAGATGGCATATGGGAACTTAGCTTGTTAGCTACTTGTGGATGAATTCGCAGAATTCCGGTTCTCCCGAATTCATTGAAAAAAAAAAAAAATGGAAACTCGGGTTGAAGACTAGATTTGGTAAGTTGGGATCTATTTCATTTGGAGGATGAATTCTTAGATTTTACTCCGTTTTTCTAGAATTTGTTGAGAAAATTGGAAAATCGGGGTAAAGATATCCTATGGGAACTTTGGGTATTATCCACTTGAAGCATGAATGCTTAGAATTTACCTTGTTTTTCTAAAATTCACCGATTAAATGGAAAATCGGGGTGAAGATGGCATATGGGAACTTAGGGTATTAGCCAGTTGTGGACCGAATTCTCAAAATTCATCCCGCTTTTCTAGAATTCATTGTAATGTAATGTAAAACTTTATTTATACAAGGAGAATCATCAGTTAAACTAAAGGTAAAAACTAAAACTATTACAACTGTTTTACATGATTGCCGTGTGGGAATCCGATGACTCAGATACCCTCTTAACAACCCGTTTAAACTGCACAGTGGAACCAACGCCTTTCAAATCTTGGGGCAAGTTATTCCACAAACAAGCCCCGCTATAACAAAAGCTTTGTTTCAAGTAATTAGTACTTGGCTTGGGCAACGGGAGTTTTCCTTCAAGATTTCTTAAGTTATAATCATTAACATGGCGTTGAGTGAAAAGACATTGAAGATATTCAGGGGCAAGTTCATTCAATGTTTTATAAATAATTAAAGCTTTCTGTTTTTTACGACAAAGAGACAGCTTCTCCCACTTAAGCATCGCTAGAAGGAGGTTGGAGCTCGAATCAAAAGGTGATTTAGTTATTACTCTGGCTGCAAGATTTTGTAATTTTTGTAATTTGTCACTCAAACAGCCACTCATACAATCCCAGACCGGGCTGCAATAATCAAAATGTGGTAATATTAAAGCATTATAAATTTGAACTGCAACATCCTTAGAAATTCATTGGGTTAAGATTGGATTTGGCACTCTAAGATCTATCCCACTTAAAGGACGAATTCTCCGAATTTATCCCGCTTTTCTAGAATTCATTAAGAACACAAACTTTTTTTAAAATGTGTAATTTTTTCTATCTTTCATTTTAACTAATAGCGAGCCGCACAAAGAAACACTTTTTGTAGTTGTAAGCTTCTCATTTATTTCGGACGAGCTTCGTCTCTAATTGAGACTTTTTTAGGGGAATGATTACAATTAAAGAGGAACAGTACATTATATAGCGCGTTGTGGTGTCTAAGTTTTGAATTTCTATGGAATTTAATTAATAATAACTGAAAAGCGGGCCGGCGTTATTAAATGCTCCTAATTACAATTAAGTTATTGCGTTATGCTTTATTTTGAGGGGCTAACGATTAGCGCTAATCATAGAATTCACCGCTGAAAAAAGAAATAAAAAATCGGGGTAAATGTGGCATGTGGGAACTTTGGGTCTTATCCACTTGTAGTAGGAATCCTCAGAATTTACTCCGTTTTATCTAGAATTTATTGCAAAAAAAATGGAAAATCGGGTAAAGATTGGATAGGGCAATTCAGTGAGATAAATTCCACTTGGAGGATGAATTTTCAGAATGTGCCCCGTTTTTCCACTCATTGAAAAAAATGGAAAGTCGGGGCAAAGTAGATTAGATGTGGCAAGTCAATAGAATATATTCAACTCGGAGGATGAGTTACTACAATTTAACCCGTTTTTCTATAAGTCCTTGAAAAAGTTCCAAAATCAGAGTAAAGATAGCATAAGGGAACTACGGGTATTATTCGCTTGTAGGATGAATTCTCAGAGATAACCCCGTTTTTCTAGAATTAATTCATTTAAAATCAAAGGCTCTGTGAGCCAACTCGTGAACTGAGTAAGCCAATGTAATTTGTGTCGTCAATAGGAATGGGTGTTTGATTTCCATACTAGGGTATGAATCGTTAGACTGGTAAATGAACATTTTGAGGAATATGATGTGAATTAAATCAGGCCTTAAAGACAGAAAATATGGCCTGATTAGGATTTAGTGTAAGACAATCACTGTTCCAGATTTTACAGTAAAGGTTTGTGGAAAGAAAGTTCAAAAGGGTGCCGTTTTGTTTATCATAAAACTATTGTTCCAATATTGAGCTCAGTATTTCCTTGTGATGCAAGCATAGGGATAAGCATGTAAAACCTTATGCGCTGGATGGAATGCTCGGACATAAGGATAAGCATATATGCATAAGATTATCAAAACGTTGCCTTCTTTTAATGCTTATACTGTCTAGTTAAGACTTGGTTGGCATAAGCGTAAGAATAAACATAAGCGAAAGACTTTCAGGCAATCAGCAAGCACAATACTGCTTATACCAACCATGTCCCTATTTAACATAACATCGACTGAGCCCTTGTGCTCATGTTTATGTTGCAGCTGTGCCCACCTGCGCATTCGCTTGTCATGTTTATGCTTCTGCTTGTGTTGCAACTGAGTACCGCCCTTGAAGCCTGTTTTGCACCTCTAAGATAATTATTAGCACGAGGATAAAAACAAGTACAAGGATGTTCACACTAATAACATAAGCAAAAACAATGCAAGCTACACCATTGAATAAATAGTATATCCATTGATTGAGCTTATCCTTGAGCTTATTTCACTTCAGTTTATTTATTTATTTACTGCAATTTAATGGCAGAAATTCACAAATGCAGTTATGATACAGTTAATTACCCCCCCCCCCGAAAAAGAATGCCATAAGGAGAATCAGCAAGAGAGTCCCAGACCCCATGTAATAGCAGATCACCCAATACATATAGTACGAATGAGATACTGTGTTATAATAAAGAAAATTAAGGTCATGATTTACCCATAAGAAATTTCTTCACTTTAAATTTAAAATTCCCAGTACAGTTTTCAGTGCGAATGTCAACAGGCAACATATTCCAAGAATCTACTATTCGATGGAAATAGGAATATTTAAGGGAATTAGTCCTTGCATATTTTTTCGTTTTAAAATCAGATGAACATAATGTCTTAAGGAATAATAATCTATACTAGAGTAAAAATCCACAAAAGGTGAAACATCAATGTCAACAAACCCTATCAGTGCCTTAAAAAAGAAAGTAACGTCAATTAAAACTCTTCTGTCTTCCAACGATAATAAATTTAACTTCTCAAGACGAGCTGCATAGCTATCCTTAGTTTTCAAAATAAATTTAGTGGCGCGTCTCTCAAGCTTGCCAGTGTTCTTACGGGAATATGGGGACCATACCTCAGAGCAGTGTTCGAGGTTAGACCTTGAATACTGCTTGTGAAGTGCTTACCGGCACTTATGAACCACTTTCCAACGTTGTTACAATTCCAGGAATACCAAACAAGCCTTGAACGAGTCACTTTAAGAACAGTTGGCCGTGAGCGCCACTAAAACATCGGACTATCGTCGAGCAACGACTGCAGTCGTTTGAGCCCGCAGTTGAAATAACCAAAAGATCAGCGTTGTAAATATAAAAGTAATATTTAGGTAAAGTTACATGAACGAATTTAAGTGGCGTGAGTGGCCTTTCGGTAAAAGCACAACTGTAGATATCGCTCTGAGATAAGCGACGTAGGTAGTTCAGATCCGCCGCACTCGAGTATGTTTTGCTTAACTTCCTTTCTTTGTTTTCTTTGTTTTTTTTTTCCGGACACAATAATCATTTTCCTGGACATATAAATTCAAAAATATGAGTGATGATGCCATAAATAAAATATACGCTGCAAGAGATAAAAGTGTATTCGGGAATTGGGCAAACTTTAATTCACAAATGAAAAACATACACTTTTTTACTCTTTCAAGACTATCATTGGCTTCTTTTTCACCCCAATACTATTCTTAGCAACAAAGGTCGCCATTTAGTTTGTTTATCACTCGCCAAAACTATCAAATGCATTCAAAAGCCTAAAATAGAAAAAAGTTTACAGGAATCGACCAACCGAGCGAGCGAGCGAGCGCCATTCATCACATCATACCCACAATTCCCTCTTGCACATGCGCGCAATTCACGAGTTAAAAAGGAAAATCAGGAAAGATTTGACTTGACAACGTTGCATATATTCCACTCGCGGAATAAAATTCTAAGAATATATTGTTCTCTAGGGTTCACTTAAAAAAAAAATGGAAAATCGAAGCAAAGATGGCATTTGGGAACTTCAGGTATTATCCACTTGTAGCATGAATTCTCAGAGTTTACCCTGTTTTTTTTTTTTTCTGGAATTAACTCATTTAAAAAAAAGGAAAATAGGGGTAAAGATTGGATATGACAACTTAGGATATACTCCAGGGTGCCCAGCAGGGTGCCCAGCATAAACATGCTTTTATAAAAAAACTAAAATTCCTAAGTAGCCCAAGTGCAAAAGTAAGGCACCAGGGGCCACCAGGCACTGCTACACCACAGACTTGACATTTGTTGGTTTCCCAGTGTTGTGACCCATGCAGGATTGTTGGAAGAACTCAAGAAACAGATGTATATTAGGAGGCGGATGCGAGGGATTTACAACCTATTTGAGGGTTCTCCTATCATCCCACATGGCCTGTTACACTGGTAAACCAACAGAAAGAGCTATTTCTAGCTTCTATAAAATAACTAGGGATTTCCCAATGCTATAAACAATCAAGGTGCTTCCAGTATCTCAGTTATTCTTAGTGTATCCGTGTTTTTTTCCAATATATTGATCCCTCCATTACATGTAACGAGCCACTCACCCCCTTTCATTGTCTCCTTACATGTAGCTCCAGCTAAAGATACTGCACAGCATACTCATTTATAACATAACCAAAGTAAAGCGCGCGCTCTGATTGGTCAATTTAGCGTCCCCCATTTTCCCATGGGTGTACGCTGCTGACGTGAGCAAATGTAAAGACTATTTTTCCGCGCGCGCTTGTTTTTTCTGGTCGCGTAAGATTTGTTAAATAAAAGGGAACTCTTTAGCTACAATGTATGAATGAGTCTGTACAGGGTACCGTTTCTGCAGCTGATAGGTTGTTAACGCATCTTACATAGTCCCTCGTCAAGAGTGGGGATACATTTGATATTTGCTGGAACGGCTACTATCATTATCGATACATAATCATACGTCCATAAACAACAAAATCCTTAGCTGAACAAAGGAAGCTTCGTGATAAAAACTCATTCAAGTACTGGATAGTTGGTTGGCATGTTGCTTTTAAATGTTAAAAATTAGTTTGAAACACATACAATCCGTATCCACAGTCTGACAAAAACTAGTCAGAGATCAAGCGGATCTAGTGGCTTTTTTGGTTTCTTCTTATATCCATGGCTGGATTTAGCTTTTAACTGACGAAATCCATGCTTGGCTTACAACACGCGAAGACCTTGCTTAATAATATCTTACCGAATGATCGCTGAAGAACAAGATCGAGTGAAGACTCTTTCGAAACTTTCTCGCAAAGTCTTTTGAAATCAAACACACCTGGTAAGACAAAGGTATTGCTTTGTACTCGAGATGGCCACTCACGTGGCTTACTTTTGCCACAGAACCTTCGATCAAGTCGTAATCTCTTAAAATCTCTCGTTTCTTCGTCGACTGTTTTCCCGACCGAAATAAAGCTACGATCTCCTTCCATTCTTCGGGGTTTTCATTTGAAAGCAAAGTCAATCTCTGGATCTTTTCATTATTCCAGAACTCATCATGTTTCGGTCGGAATACCAAAACGGCTGGCTTGACTGACTTTCTCTTAGCCCACTTGTAGGCATCCTCAAATGATTTTGTAAGGTAGAACCCTTTTCCAGAGCTGAAATCTCGTTTCTGCCTTCCTGCCGGTAGATGTATGCCGCGACCATTCAAGATGTCCACAGCACTGTCATGATCTGTACCGTGATACAAGTTTTCAAACTGTTCCTCTATCGAGTGACAAGGAATCTCACTCGCAGAGATCCATCCTTGAACGTTCACAATGTTGACGTAAGACTCAGGGTTGCCTTCAGTCACGTTCCTTTTGGAAAGTGAAACTTGAAACCATTCATGTATTTTAGTGCTCTGAAAAGGAAACTCGCTCCTGGCAAGCTGGTTGTCATCAGAATTTAAGAACGGGTTGCATCGAAACTCATCTTGAATAAAGATTTCAGCCCAATCGCACGGATCGATGTGTTTTGCCAAACTACTCGCACGCTCCATAATTAAATCGGCAGTCAAACTCAAAGGATCGAATCCGATGTCATGAAGCAGTTCTTTGCTAAGAGAGTTCTTTCCCGACAGATCAGACAAGGCTGTGTAGTTGTTCTTTAAGAAAATAACTATCCACTCACATAGCGTCCTATGATGTCGAAGTTTTTCATTCATAACATAACCAAAGTAAAGCGCGCGCTCTGATTGGTCAATTTAGCGTCCCCCATTTGCCCATGGGTGTACGCTGCTGACGTGAGCAAATGCAAAGACTATTTTTCCGCGCGCGCTTGTTTTTTCTGGTCACGTAAGATTTGTTAAATAAAAGGGAACTCTTTAGCTACAATGTATCAATGTTATGTTATAAAACAAATGGTAAACACCACAGCGTACACTATTGAGTTATGGATGCACTTGGGAGGTTTGCTAAGCACTCAAGAAGCTAGAGTCGCTCTCGGCTATCGCCTCGAGCGACTCTTACGCTTCTTTCGTGCTTAGCAACCTCCCGCGTGCATCCATAACTCAATAGTGTACGCTGTGGTGTTTACCATTTGTTAAATATCATCAGTGTTACGAATGCAGGACAGATATCAAAATAATTGACCTGTTGTGTGGTAATATCCCACTCAGAAGATGTCAAGGCATCCTTGTTACAAATAGACATGTGCACTTGATGATCCAAAACTGAGTAAGATTCACTACTTGTGGCTACACTGCACTTCAGATGAATGGTGTTAGCCACATCTAAAGAGAGAGAAAGAGAGACAGTTTGTCAGAGAGTTACAAAAGAAAAAATTCCAGCAGCCTACTTTGTACTATTTCCCTATGGCTAGCCAGAGCTTATTCCTGTCATAACTCCATGTAGAGATCTGCAGCTTTGCCACTTCTCTTGCAAAGAGGTACTATTCTCTACAGCATTTTATTCTCTAACAGTTCATCAGAAGCCTCAAAAAATCTTAGGTGGAAAGAGGCACAACAATATAGCCTGTAGCATACAGCCTGCTGCAGCCTTTCATCTGTTAACTACTCGGTTCTGTAACACACACACTCATCCAAGTAATAATATGTAGAACCAAAATTCACAAGTTTTATACCTGCTAGCATTTTGCATACATTACAGTTACAGTACAAAGTACACTTATTAACAGCAATTTCTATTGTGATAAGACGTAAATGGCGGCATGAATAATGGCGTAAGGGAATTGTTGATTAAGCAACATCATCCTGTCAGTCAAGCATATTGATGAAGAGCTTATATTCGAAATGACATCTTTGAAACTTGTAATATATTGCTAGTGATATAAACCCACGAGGTCAAACAACATGGCCGCTTCAACACAACTTTATTCCCGCAATGTATTCTGGTACATACACAGTAACCTTAGAGGGTACTTAATATATTACAAAACTCTTCACTGTCGCCACTTAACATTATCAACTCAGTTAATAAAACCAAAATGACCTTGTTGTACTCCCCAACAATGCAGCAGCACCACTGAGTGAGTTAAGAAATTTACCCCTTTTATTCATTTGTACTAACCATGGCAAAAGATTTCATGAATGAACCAGGCAGTTTTGTCTCCTGCACTGATCTTGACTGGAGGTACTCTTTGAAAATTTCACTCCACTTACTTATTTATTTAAAATTGCACCTAAAATGATCTGGTTTACTGTACAGTTACAAACTGCTTACAAAACTTTGCCTTTAAGACCAGTATTTGATGACACAATTAGCAAAAAATAACTTACTTATTTGTATTGTACATTTTCCATTTTTAGTGAGCTCAGCAAAGATTTCTGACAGTATGGATGGAAGAGTAGTTTTTGTTCCCTCTTGTGATAAAAATCCATACTCGAGCTGAAAGAAAAAACAAACAAACATATTAACAGTTGCATCAAGTGTCATTTAAAAAAAATGGATGGTGGAAGTGTCGACAAACGATAATAAAATCATTTTTCTTCCATCAACTGCTTAACCCCCAAGAGTGACTAATAGCATGTATCTATCAAGGTAAAACAGCTAGTTCTTTGCCAGCCACAAACTTTCCAGAAGGGTTTTCTTTGTCCTACAATGAGAAACATTGGAGCAACAAAAAGGAAACCTTGCGATTGATAAATGATGTTCTTCACCCCTACATTTAGCAAATCAAGGCAAAGCTCAGCCTTTACAAGAACGCCAGAACCAATTTGATCTGGAATGCATTTAAAGCTCAGTCATCGAAGCTTGTTGAAGAGCAACTAAAAGAACTAAACATTATCAGTTTCATGGTGCCCAAAAACATGACACATCTTCTCTAACCACTTAATATCTCAACAAATTAAATAGAGCTGTCAAAAGCATGGAGAAACGTGCACTTATTGAATATTTCACATCATGTATCACCATGGTTAGTAGAGGGGACTGGTTAGGAAACGCGGCAAACTTCAAAGGGCCGGCCTATTGTCTGTCCCCTGAGCTTCGCTTGAAGGTCACGTGATCAATGACCC